TGGGTGTTATCCAGATGCATGTCATTCGGGACTGGCGTACTTGCACCATCCAGCGACGTGATAGAAGCAACGGATGCGGAATATTGACGAGGACGCAGGAGGACTAGTATATTGTTGGGGAGGCTTGATGGGAAGGAAGAGACCGATGAGGCATATGGTAAGCAATAGACGGATGCGGAAACGATGGAGGAGGAGGAGGAGGAGGAGGAGGAGGAGGAGGAGGCGGAGGATAATTATAAGGAGGATCAGTAGGAGGAAGGCTTTCACCTCGGCCCGTTGTGACTTTCTCCGTGTTTATCTCCAACCTGCCTTATCGCTGATATGTGTTTTTCCCCCTTGCCCCTCTTTAGCGGGGGCATACAGACGGCGATGGCGAGGAGGCGCAGCAGGAGGAATAGGAGAAGGACGATAAACAGGATGAGGATGCGAAGTAGCAGCAGGAGTAGCAGGCGGGTGGGAGGATGAAGATCATAATGATGGGGGGTGATGAGGACACGTTGGAGGATAAGGGCAATGCTGAACATGTGTTGGATTGTGTTGGTTTGAATTGGAACATGTGTTAAGAGTAAGACTTGGCATCGCCCGGACGTGTGCATTTTTTCTCGGCGAGAGCCATCGAGGACCATCCTGGACCATCGAGCAAACAAAACACGCACGACACCGAAAGCTGCACGGGAGATGGACGTCCGAGCGACGGCAAGAAGAGGAATGTGCGGCGGGAGGTGACCAAGATGAGGATGAGGACGAGGAGACGAGGATGAAGATGAGGAGAAGGATGCGGGGGAGGAGTGGGATCCAGTGACACATATAGAAAGGAAGGTCGAGGAGGCGAATGCGGAGGAAATGTGAGGTGTGGAGAAGCATGAGGAGGGGCAACAGCAGGATGGGTACGTGGATGGGCCGGGGCAGCAGTTGGAATGAGAGAGACATTGGTCCGCTGTTCAGTATTCGAACGGCCTCCTTGCGAGCAGAATTCAGGAGGGGCAAAACACACAGGCACAATTAATCGTCGATTCCCCAGAAAATATGGGAAACTATGGGAAGTGGGGGGGAAGACAAAAACCCCGAAACTATGGGAACATCTGGGGAATCCTGTTGTTTGTGTGTATTTATTTGTGTCCTTGGGCCCCTTCATCCTTGCGAGCAGAATGGATTGTGGAGATCCCCCTCCCTTCAGGGAGAGCTGCCTGCGGTGCAGGGGCCGCCGCGTGGCGGCCCCCTGCCACGTCGGCGGGGACGTCCCTGCTCAGGTATTTTTGTTCTGTGCTGCGGCGGGATCTCGCAGCACGACAGGTCGGCTGCTCGATTTTTTGTCGAGGCGCGCGCCTCTTCGGCTCAGCATCCCAGGCGTCGATGTTGAGAGTTTCTAGACTTGTGGAAGTCGATCAATGGAGAGGAAGCGTGCTGCCAAATAGTTCCAGATGTCTATAAAATGTTTAAAGCATGTCTGCAGCATTGTTAGAACATGCTTTGCACATTTCCAACACATCTTTAATTCAATGACAGGAGTGTTAGAGTGTCCATTGTCGTGGCATCCACAATTCTAGACTGTGTGCGCGGGGGGTGGGGTGGCCCGAAGGCCGCTCAGCGTGCGCGCCCCCCCCCCCCCCCCCTGATGCGCCTGCATGCTGGAGAGAGGAGGGCCGTGAGCATCGGCAGCGCCTTGGCAGGCGGGCATGCGCGAGCGGCCTAGGTCTCGTCCCGAGGGCAGCGAGAGCGCAGCAGCTGGGCAGCATTGGTGTGTGTGTGTGTGTGTGTCGGGTCCTCTGGATACCCCCCCGCCCATTCGAGGGGCATGCGGCGGAGCGGAGCGACAGAGGCCGCGCACACGCAACGCAGTACGGTGGCCCTGGAGAGGACGTGGGGGGCTGGTGCTCTTCTTCGGCGCGGCGAGCCCGTTGCCGCATTTGCACACGTCCATGTAATACCAAACGTTGTATGTTCGAGTGTCCAAAGCAGCTGCGGGCACACATGTGCAGGCCGGTCTCTGCATAGTGTACCTGCTTGCGTGGCAAGGGGGAGCTACCGTTCCACCCACGTGCGCCCTCCAACTTCCATCCGCCATGCGTGTGCTGCCATGGATTGGCCTACGTGGCTTCCTAGGTCATGTCATTTTGGGAATGGTGACGCCAGGGCCTTCTATCATCGGTCGTTGATGGCCATTATGGAACTTATGTCAAACACTGCCAGCTCCATCAGTCAAATCTGTGATGCCAAGTCTGCCTGTATCCTATTTTGCCCAGACGGTCCCACTGGTTCCACGGTAAGTGGGGTGTCGGTTGGTTACCTTGTCTTCGGTCTTCGGTCAGCTTGAGCATATGGCGGTGGGCGCGGCCTGCAGTCTGTGCCCATCCCGCCGTCCTCGTCCTCCTCATCCTCCTCCTCCCCCTACTCCTCGTTCTCCTCCTCCTACCCCCCCCGTCCTCTGGGACGAACGTGACTCCCCGTTTCGTTCGCGCGTGCGGGGCCACGCCGCGATGACCCCCCGCGGCACTGCCGAGATCACGACGTGGGCCACGCCCTGCCTGAGGATCGACCGCTCCCAGGGCCTGCTCTGTTGGCGCCTCGGGGGGAGGGAGAGAGGGAGCGGGAGGGAGTGAAGGTTGGCGGCGGAGGAGGATGACACACATGATGATGCTGCTGATGATGTTGGGGATAAGGATGAGGCTGAGGATGAGGAAGATGATGACGATGATGAGGATGACGATGATTATGATGCTGATGCTAATGATGATGATGCTGCTGATGCTGATGCTGATGCTGATGATGATTATGATGACGATGACGATGATGATGATGGTGGTGATGGTGATGATGATGTTGTTAATGATGATGTTGCTGATGCTGATGATGCTGATGATATGGATGCTGACGATGATGATGATAATGTTGATGATGATGACGATGATGAACATGATCGTGATGGTGCGGATGATACTGATGATGGTGATGATGATGCCGATGATGATGCTGATGATGATGATGATGCTGATGCTGATGTTGATGATGCTGATGATGGTGATGCTGATGCTGACGCTGGTGATGCTGTTGTTGCTGCTGGTGTTGCCTTTGCTGCTGCTGCTGTTGGGGTGGTGGTGGTGGTGTTTGTTGTCGTTGTTGTTGCTGCTGTTGTTGTTGGTGCCGTTGTTGCCGTTGCTGCTTTTGTATTGTAGTTGGGGCTGTCCTTGTTGTTGATGCTGTTGTCGTTGCTGCTGCTGTTGTTATTCTTCTTCTTAGTCAGTTTGTTCTTGCTGTCGATGGTGATGATGACGATGCGGTTGACGATTCTGATGATGATGCTGATGCTGATGCTGCTGCTGCTGCTGCTGCTGCTGATAATGATGATGATGCTGATAGCGGTGGTAATTTGGATATTGATGCCGATGCTGATGCTGCTGATTAGTTTGATGCTGATGCTGGTACCGTTGATGTTGTTAAGGATGATGATGGTGAAAATGCTGATGCTGATGCTGTTGCTGATGATTAGGACGGTAATACTGATGGTGATATTGATGATGCTGATGATGGTGATGAAGATGCTGCTGATGCTGCTGCTGATGACGCTGATGCTGATGCTGATGCTGATGCTGATTATGATGATGATGCTGCTGATGATGATGCTGGTGCTGATGATGATGATGATGATGCTGATGATAAGGATGATGACAGCGGTGGTTGTGGTGGTGGTGGTGCTGCTGATGGTGGTTGTGTCGTTCGGGCTGCTGATGCCGACGACGAGGACGATGTGGAGCATCCTCTTCAGGGTGAGTCGGAGGAGAAGAAGGGGCGACGCGGGAGGGAGGGGGCAGAGGAGGGCAGCGGGGGGACGGAAGGAGTCCTCCTCCTCCTCCTCCTCCTCCTCCTCCTCGTCATCCTCGTCCTCTTTGCCCTCCTTCTCTTCCTCCTCCTCCTCTTCCTCCTCTTCCTCCTCCTCCGCCTCTTTCGCCTCCTCCCCGTCCTCCTCCTCCTCCTCCTCCTCCTCCTCCTCCTCCTCCTCCTCCTCTTCCTCGAATGAGGAATGAATGATTGGATTCGTACGGTGGCGGGTAATCAGAGTAGTCACCTTCACAGGCATCGTGTTCTGAGCCACGCGTATCGAGCTAAGAACCCTTCGACTCGTTCGTGCCCAGCGAGCGCTTTGCCGTGCCCCCCCTCATCCTTTCGCCTCTGGCTTCCGTTCCCCCCCCCCTGGCCTCCAGCCTCCTCCGCCTTCCTCTTGCTCCTCATTGTTCTCATCCTCGCCCTCGAGCTTACCCGCATCTCATCCTCACCCTCACCCTCTCTGGCATCATTCCCCCCCTCTTCCTAGTAGTCGCCCTCGTCCTCATCCACTCGCCTGTCCTCGTCCTCGTCTCCCTCGGCAAATACTCAACATGAATACTACTCTCCCTTCTCCCCTGACTCTGTCCGGAAGAAGCCCCGCCCTCTCCGCGCATTTTTATACAGGGTTTCATCATTTGATTTGCATTTCCAATGCTTCTTTCTTTTCGTGACGTTCTAGGTGCTCGGACATGGTGCTCATGCTGCAGCGTGGGATTTTACAGTTGCTTCAGTTGGTCAGACCTGCTCTTCCCCCCCGCAGGCCACTGTTCTGGACCCGAGTCCGTACGGGCGGGGCTAGGACGAGGATAAATCGCTTCCAGAGCGTTCTGGAACGCTCTGAGAGCGTTGCGGAACGTGCTGAGAAGGCTGCGGCGCCCGAGACATCCTCCAGAGCCGCCGGATCTCAGAGATTCTCGATTTTTCCCCACCCGATGTTATCCTCGTCCTGGCTTCGTCTCACACTTCTTTACCGTTGTCGTCCCTCTTCTTGCCCCTCTTCCACTCTCCCCAGTACTTCCTGCTCCTCCCGTCCCTTCCGCTCCAGCTCCTGCTGCTGTCTGTCCTCGTCCTTCTGCGTCCTCCTCCTCCTTCTCCGCCTTTTCCTCCTGCTCCTCCTGCTCATCCGCCTCCTCCCCCAGTGTGCCCAGCTTTCTTGTTCCGAATGCGCAGAGTACGAGGTGGGGTCCTTGTCCGAGTTTCAAGTCCGCAATGTTACTCGTCGGCGGATAGAGAACACATCAGCGCGCAGTGGGAATGGACGGGCGGGAGGGGTAGGCTGTCCGATATGGTGCGACAGGGTAGAGCAAGCAGATGCTGCCGACACGCTTGCTTGTAGAATAGCGAGAAAGCATGGCCACACGCGGCTACTAATCGGTGGCCCTGTCAAGCAGACCCCAGGCAGATTTGAACCATCCCTTCTTCAATTTTTGCATCCTCAGGAGAGTCTGGAAGTGCAGCAAAAAGATGTGGTGCTAGCGCCCGCAGATTTGCACTCACACGATATGAATAGTACTCTTCTCTCTCCCCTGCCTACGTGCGGGAGGTATCCCGCCCCCTCAGCGCATGGTTGTCACACATAGGATTTCAAAAGGTGCTGTGTTATATGTATGTTTGCAGTCCAATCGCTTTCGATGTTTCAAACTTGTGTTCCCGCTGCAGCGTGGGCCTCATTTTCGGATCGGCGCTTTGTTCCCGTCGTTCAGAATGGCGCTCTCGCCCCAGCGCGGGTTCTTGATCCGAGTCATTTGTATTGTTGTCGCCACCCTCATTTCCCCTCCTCCGCCTTCTCATGGTCCTCCTGCTCCTCCCACTCCTTCTACTCCAGTTCCTGCTGCTGCTGCTGCTGCTGCTGTTCGTCCTCGTTCTCCTCCGTCCTCATCCTCCTCATTTTCCTCCTGATCATCCTCCTGCTCACCCGCCACCCCGTCCTCCTCCTCCTCCTCCTCCTCCTCCTCCTCCTCCTCCTCCTCCTATGTACGAAGCTCCACTTTTCCGATTGCGCACAACGCGATGGTTTTGTTTTTCGAGTTCCACGTCGGCTTTGACACGCGTCTGCGGATAGGGAAAAAACAACGCAACGGGATGGGATGTATTGGAGTATAGACTGTCAGATATGGTGCGAGCGCACCATATGGCGCGAGCACACCCAGCTTGCCCCCCTCCCACCCCCTCTCCATTCTCCTCCCTCCCCCCTCCCGCTGCTCCTCCCAGCCCCCTCCCCCCTCATCCCCCCCCTCTTCGTCCCACCCTCACCTCCGCCTCTCCTCTCCTCGCCCCCTCTCGCCACAGCCAGTGCCGCACAGGAGAATCCGCCCTCCCAGCTGGTGCCCCCCTGGGCGTCCTTGGGGCTGTGGCCCTGCGGGGCATCGCGCGGCAGCAGTGTTGACTCGAAAGCCCACCCGCGCAACTCTCTCGCTCTGAGTTCTCGTCCTCCCGCTCTCCTCCCCCCTTCTCATCTTCCTGCAGCAGGTGCATCAGGGTTGAGAAGCCGGCCTGCCAGCAGGTGCCCCACGCAAACCTCTAATCCCACGGCGGCCCCAGGGGGCCCTCAGAAACCCTGAAGCACCTTGAGAAGTCCAGGGATCAAAGAAGAGCGCGCCCGAGGTTTCTTACAGCAAGATCTTTCGTCGTATCTGCTGCTGCTGCTGCTCCTGCTTGTGTCTGCTGCTGCTGCTCCTGCTGCTGCTGCTCCTGCTGCCCTCGTCGTCGTCCTCCTCCTCCTGATGCTGCTGCTGTCCCTCCGCCTGATTATTCTGCTGCCCCTCCGCCTCATCCTTATCTACACTGGTCCTTGTCCGTTTCCTCATCCTCCGCTCCCTCCTCCTTCTCGCCCCCTCCTCCTCGCCCCTACTCGAAGACTTCCTGGCGCCGGCGAAGAGCCGCGGGCCCACCGAGGTCTGGACCTGCACGACCACCCCCTGTGGTGGTGCTCCGGCCTGGCGCGGCCAGGAGCCCTGGCGCGGGTGCGGCGTGCGCACTCAGCCTTGCAGTCACGCTGGCCTCATCGATCGAGGAGGAGGAGGAGGAGGAGGAGGAGGAGGAGGAGGAGGAGGAGCATCGAGCGAGGAGGAGGAGGAGGAGGAGGAGGAGGAGGAGGAGGAGGAGGAGGAGGAGGAGGAGGAGGAGGAGGGGGAATCCTCCAGTCTCCAGTCCCTACCTACCTCTCTCCCTCTCTCTCTCTCTCTCTCCCTCCTCCGGTGTCAGCTTGAGCAGAGACTTGATTTCACCCCATCGTTGGCCAGCTCGCAGGCACCCATGATGCGTTGAAAGCGTTGAACGGAGGTAGATGGAGGCTCCGGGCGCACGCGTGCACGACCCGCTCGGCCTCTGCCTAAGGCAACGGTATCAACGGACACTGGCGACCCATGCGCGCCAGAGGAAGCGCTTGAATGTTCTGCGTGTGCCGTCTCATGAACGTCATTATGGCGATCAGGGCCATGCAACGCTGGTGTGATAAACCGATGGGTACACATGGAACGCTAGCCGTCCGCATGCGCATCCAGTCGTGTGTCGTCGCAGGAGCATCTTTATGACGATGATGGTGGTTGTCTGCCACGATACACGGTGTGGAAGGCCGATGGAAACACGTGGGGCGATGGTCGTCCGCACGGGCATCTAGCTCGGTGCCCCGACCAGCACTGCACATGACCCAAGCCATGTCTTTCCAGCTCTCTCAGAAGCTGCCCCGCCTTCTCGTGAAGCCAGCCGTGTGCTCTTTGAAGCTGTTCCGCCTTGTTTGAAGCCTTGTGGCTTGCCCTCAGGGTGCGCTCGTTCGCCCCGCTGTCTCTTTCGCGCCGTCGTCGGCGCCGCCTGCAGTAGGGCGACCTCGCCGCGCGAAATCTTATGGGCAATCAAAGATTTTTGGTCTCTTCTGGCCTTCCTGGAGGCCCTCTTGGAGGCCTCTTGGGCCGTCTTGGAGGCCTCTTCGGCCGTGTTCGGCGATCTTGGGGCCACCTTGGGCCATTCGGGGAGCAGTTCGGCCAATATTGAGAGCATTTCTGTCCTTGCCCGTCGTCCTCTCTCCCTCTCCCCCGCCCCTTCTCGCTCCTCGGTTCCTCGCTCTCTTGCCCGTTTCTGGCCCTTCCTGGCCCGCTTTTCTGTGTCGGCCCGTCCCGGTGTCCGAATAAGAGCCGCGGCGCCGCGCACTGCTTGTGAACCCCTGTGTGCCCGCAACCCTGGCACCTGGGAGTGTACGACTGAGGCCCTTCTACGGATCTCAGGGTTCGTCGCTCGCTGGAGACATCGTGGGGCCATCTTGGGCTCTCTAGCGGCCCTCCGAGTCCATCTTGGTCGTCTCGGATGCCGCCTCTGGGCCGCCTGCGGCGGGACGGCCCGACGAACAACTGGGAAGCTCACGGGCCTTTGCGGGTCGACGAGGCGGCGGGGAACCTTTTCTACAGGTCCTGGCCGGCGCCGTCGGCCGAGATTCCAGTGGGATTTTTTCTCTCACCACCCACCAAACCACCCCAACCCAACCCAAAGGCTCAGATTTACCCTCGATTTCCAGTGTGGGGGGGTCGGGAAACATCGAATTATAGCCGGAGTGCAGTATCCCCAAACAGGGTTTTTAGACCCACTGCGGTTTCCAAGGTCGATTGCGTGCCCGTCCAGTGCGGGCTGGCATGGCATGTTAAAACATGCCTCCTCCTGCTCCTCCTGCTCCTCCTGCTCCTCCTGCTCCTCCTCCTGCTCCTCCTCCTCCTGCTCCTCCTCCTCCTGCTCCTCCTCCTCCTCCTCCTCCTCCTCCTCCTCCTCCTCTTCATCATCCCGAACAGCATCTCGGAGCCCAGAGTTGCGAGGATGTGTGACGAGCTGGACCACCTCGCGCGCGGCATTTCGGACCCCAAAGTTGCGACGATGTCTCGGGCGAAACGTGCTGCGAGGAAGTCTCAGGCGAAACGGGCCGGACCACCTCGAGCGCGGCGTCTCAGAGCTCCGAGTTGCGGGGGCCTCCTGGGGCCTCCTGGGACCTCCTGGTGACCTCCTGGGGCTTCCTCCTGGGCCTCCTGTGGCCTCCTGGACCCCACCTGGGGCTTCCTGAAGCCTCTTGGGGCTCCCAGGGGGGGATATCTAACATGTGGCCGTCGGGGCTCCCCAAAATGGGGGAGGGGGGCCACAAGAGCAGGAAAAATCAACGAATCGACACTGGATGTGTATTAACACTTGACACGTTCTGATAGGGGGCCGCCTGGGGCCTCCTGGGAGCCTCCTGGGAATCTCCTGGAGACCCTTGGGGCCTGTCCTGGGCGTCCTGCGGCCTCCTGGAGCTCTGTGGGGCCTCCTGGAAGCCACATGTGGTCTTCTGGGTGCCCAGGCTGGACCACCTCTTGCGCAGCATCTGAGAGCTCAGATTTGCGAGAATGTCTTGTGCGAAACGGGCCGGACCACCTTGCGCACGGCATCTCAGAGCTCAGAGTTGCGAGGATGTCTCAGGCGAGATGGGCCGGACCACCTCGCGCAGGGCATCTCGGAGCCCAGAGTTGCGAGGATGTCTCCAGCGTGACGGGCTGGACCACCTCGCGCGCGGCATCTCGGACCCCAGAGTTGCGACGATGTCTCGGGCGAAACGTGCTGCGAGGAAGTCTCAGGCGAAACGGGCCGGACCACCTCGAGCGTGGCGTCTCAGAGCTCCGAGTTGCGGGGGCCTCCTGGGGCCTCCTGGGACCTCCTGGTGACCTCCTGGGGCTTCCTCCTTGGCTTCCTGTGGCCTCCTGGACCCCACCTGGGGCTTCCTGAAGCCTCTTGGGGTTCCCAGGAGGGATATCAAACCTGTGGCCGTCGGGGCTCCCCAAAATGGGGGAGGGGGGCCACAAGAGCAGGAAAAATCAACGAATCGACACCGGATGTGTATTACCTGGACACGTTCTGATAGGGGGCCGCCTGGGGCCTCCTGGGAGCCTCCTGGGAATCTCCTGCGGACCCCTGGGGCCTGTGCTGGGCGTCCTGCGGCTTCCTGAAGCTCTCTGGGGCCTCCTGGGGCTCGCAGGGTCCCAGGGGGGATATGTAACATGTGGTCTTCTGGGCCCCCAGGCTGGACCACCTCTTGCGCAGCATCTGAGAGCTCAGACTTGCGAGAATGTCTTGTGCGAAACGAGCCGGACCACCTTGCGCACGGCATCTCAGAGCTCAGAGTTGCGAGGATGTCTCAGGCGAGATGGGCCGGACCACCTCGCGCAGGGCATCTCGGAGCCCAGAGTTGCGAGGATGTCTCCAGCGTGACGGGCTGGACCACCTCGCGCGCGGCATCTCGGACCCCAGAGTTGCGACGATGTCTCGGGCGAAACGTGCTGCGAGGAAGTCTCAGGCGAAACGGGCCGGACCACCTCGAGCGCGGCATCTCAGAGCCTAGAACTTCGAGGATGTCTGATGCGAAACGGGCCAGACCACCTCTCGCGCCGCATCTGGGAGCTCAGACTTGCGAGGACGTCTCAGGCGAAACGGGCCGGACCACTCCTCGCGCGGCATCTGGGAGCTCAGAGTTGCGAGGATGTCGCAGGCGTAACGGGCCGGAATACCTCGCGCACGGCAACTCAGAGCCCAGAGTTTGGAGGATGTCTCAGGCGAGACGGGCCCGACCACCTCGCGCGCGGCCTGTCAGCCCAGAATTTCGAGGAGGTCTCAGGCGAAAAGGGCCAGAAGACCTCGCGCGCGGCATCTCGGGGCTCAGAGTTTGGAGGATGTCTCAAGCGAAACGGGCCAGACCACCTCTCGCGCGGCATCAGAGAGCGCAGAGTTGCGAGGATGTCTCATGCGAAACGGGCCAGACCACCTCGCGCACGGCATCTCGGAGCCCAGAGTTGCGAGGAAGTCTCTAGCGAAATGGGCTGGACCACCTCTTGCGCGGCATCTCAGAACTCAGAGTTGCGAGGATGTCTCAGGCGAAACGGGCTGGACCACCTCTTGCGCGGCATCTCAGAGCTCAGAGTTTCGAGGATGTCTCAGGCGAAATGGGCTGGACCACCTCTTGCGCGGCATCTCAGAGCTCAGAGTTTCGAGGATGTCTCAAGCGAAACGGGCCGGACCACCTCGCGCACGGCATCGGGGAGATCAGAGTTTCGAGGATGTCTCAGGCGAAACGGGCCGGACCACCTCTCGCGCGGCATCTTGGAGCTCAGAGTTTCGAGGATGTCTCAGGCGAAATGGGCTGGACCACCTCTCGCGCGGCATCTCAGAGCTCAGAGTTTCGAGGATGTCTCAAGCGAAACGGGCCGGACCACCTCGCGCACGGCATCGGGGAGATCAGAGTTTCGAGGATGTCTCAGGCGAAACGGGCCGGAGCACCTCGCGCGCGGCATCTTGGAGCTCAGAGTTGCGAGGATGTCTCAGGCGAAACGGCCCGGACCACCTCTCGCGCGGCATCTGGGAGCTCAGAGTTTGGAGGATGTCTCAAGCGAAACGGGCCGGACCACCTCTCGCGCGGCCTCTCAGAGCTCAGATTTAGGAGGATGTCTCAGGCGAAACGCTCAATCCCGGACAACTCAGAAACGAGAGTTGTGAGGATGTCTCAGGCGAAACGGGCCGGACCACCACATTTGTTTGAGGATGTCTCTGCTTAGCTTTCCCTCGGCCGGAGTTAGCTTCTATCACAACAGCACCCCGTTCAGCAAGCTGTTTGGGGAAAAAACACATGTGGAACCCTTACCCCCCCAACCCGAAATTCGGGTCTTCGGGTTGGGTTGGGGGTTGGGGTGGTCTGGTAGGTAGTCATTCTCGTAAACGGACCCAAAACATCCAAAGTCCAGCACGCCGTGCGTTCCTGTGGCAAGCACATGGGGCGGCGGATGACGGAAGGAGCGTTCACGCGGATCCGCTCTTGGCAGGGCGTCAGCCCAAGGGGGAGGGGTCCAGGGGGGGGGGCGGCCAGTCGAAAAGTCTAATAGCTTTTGCGGGGGCCCAAAACGGTCCCCGATACCCGTAAGACGGCCCAAGAGGGCCCCAAGACGGCCCCAGAGCGCTCCAAGACGGCCACAGTTCGCTCCACGACGGTCCAAGAAACTCCCGAGACGCCCTAAGATGGCTCAAAGGCGGTCAAAGGGGCCCCAAAGACGCTCCAAGTAGCTTCAAAGAGGCTGTCCAAGAAAGCCCGAGGAGACACAATTCTATTGTTTTTTGGTGTGATTGCAAGTTTAGTGGTTGTCGTTTTTCTGGCCAAGAACGGCCGAAAGCAGCCTCAGAGGATCCAAAGATCGCCCCAAGACGGCCGAAGAAGTCCCCAGAGGGGTCCGAAGGTTATCAAAGAGGGCCCCAAGACTGGCCAAGAGGGTCCCCAAACGGTCCGACAGGGTCCACAGACGGCCCCAAGAGAGCCCCAAGAGAGCCCCAGGAGGCTCCTAAGAGGGCTCCAAGAGGCCGCCAAGAGACCCCCAAGGCGGCCACAGGCCTCGAAGAGGCCCCAAGACGTCCCAAAAGGTCCCAAGACGGCTCAAGAGGGCCCCAAGACAGTCCAACAGTGAGGTGATGATCGACGCTTTGAACTCCAGCGCAGTGGGAACTTTGAGTACCAACCCATACTATTCAGAAGATCACAAATAACGGACCCAGAGACAATCCGAATGTATCCGGCGACGATCGATTTGGGCGGCTTGGTTTGACACATCTGCAACACAACTCCCAATCCCTGGTATCCCTTTGCCCTCCTGCTTTAGGTCCTCTCCCAAAGGTTTGGGGGCTCGTTTATTGCTAATCGCCTGGTGTGATCCTCCCCTCCCTCCCTCCCCTCCTTCAGGCGCTTGCTCCCTCCCCCCCCTTCCGAGGAGCTTGCGCCGCGTGCGGCGAGGCCCCCACGGAGGCCGCCTCTGGGCTCCCCTGCTTGATGGGGCCGATCCTCCGCCACCACTGCCACAGGTAGGATGGGGATTTTGGATTGGCTCCTCGCTGAAGCATACGGCTTGTCGAGACTCAGCGGCGCTGCAGCTAGCAGAAGATTTGTCAGAATAGAAAACGCCATAGACAAACTTGTGGTGCTCCGCGCGGATTTCTTGGATCCGCGCTGGGCCCCCCTGGCGGCGCGTCCGGCGCCGCCCATGGCGCGCTCCGCGCGCCAGGGAGGACAGCTTTTGATTTCGATTATGCCGCTTATGCCTCTGTTTGTTCCTCCAAACCTGGAACTTTGTGGCACGAGAGTTCTCCTGAACGGTTTCCTCCCCCTCTCCAGGCCAGTCGGCCCTGAGGGGGTCTGATCGACTCAGGGCCAGGTGACCTTTGGAGCACCGCTTCAGGGGCCACCGCCATGCGCGTATTTTTTCTGCGTGTAGATGCAGGGGGAGTTGGGATAGGCAGACGAGGCGCGAGGGGAGGGGAGGAGGAGGAGGGAGGAGACATGAACCTGTAACGAGGAGGCGAGAGAAGGTGGGGCGAATGCAGTTTGTGGCAGCGGTGTGGCGCGGGACAGAAGTAGCTGGACAGGGCGGCGTGAGGGCAGACAAAAGGATGGGAGATGGTGGGGCTGACGCTCTGCGTAGCATGTAGCCTACAGATGGTGGCTTGGATGCCACTCAAGACTCCTCCTCCTCTTCCTCCCCCGCCTCCCCCTCCTCCTCCTCCTCCTCCTCCTCCTCCTCCTCCTCCTCCTCCTCCTCCTCTTCCTCCTCCTCCTCCCTCTCCTACCTGTGGTAGTGGTGGTGGAAGATCGACCCCTCACCGCTCTCTCTCTCTCTCTCTCTCTCTCTCTTTCGGGCGAGGGGCGCCCGCGTGTCGAGCTGGGCCGTGGTGGCGAGGGAGGACGGTTTCCCGCCGTTTTGAGGCTCAGGGGGGCGACGACGACGACGACGACGACGACGACGACGACGACGACGACGACGACGACGACGACGGACCGACGGACCGACGGACGACGACGACGACGACGATGACGACGACGACGACGATGACGACGACGACGCCGATGGACCGATGGACGACGGACGACGGACCGACGGGCGACAGGCGACGGACGACGGACGATGGACGTCAGGGCAGGGCCTCGGGGCCGCCAAAAAGCGACTCGGGATCAGAAAACCGGTTCCGGGGAATGGGTCGACACCTTGGGGGGTGGTCGTTACGAAAAATAATTATGTCGTGGGTCTGGGCAGGGGAGGGGAGGGGAGGGGCACCAGAGGAAGAAGGGGTAACGATACCGCTACTCTTGCTAGTTTTCGCCTTTTCGGACCTTCTGTGAGGCTCCAGTCACCACGGCTAGACTCGCATCGAAACCCTTGTCAAAACGCACTCTGGGAGAGGTCGGGAGAGTAACATTATGGATGCCTTTTGGTTTCCCCACAGGGAGGGGGTGGGGACAGAGGGAGGGAAGTGGAGGGAGGGATCGCGTTATCGGGATCGGCTCCATGGTCTCCTCCATTCGACGAGGAGCAATCGAAGACGCAATCATTGTTTTGCAGACCTCCGAGAATTTACTGTTACTGTTGGTCCGCCGTCTTTTTTGTTGTTGCTCTGTGGCAGGATCACGTCATCCGGTATCGGTTCGATCGCCTCCTCCACCGCCCCGCTGCGCGCAGACTCTGCAGCCCTCACGGGCCACTCTGCCTGTCCCCTCTCCCTCTGCCGCGCCCGACTCCTGCTACGCGCCTCTCGGCTTGTCTTTGTCTTCACATCGCCCTAGTGGGTGTCAATGTGTTACCAGCTTCCCGTTGCAGCGGCCAGCCAGCCAGTGTTTGTGTAACGTGGAGAGGGGGAGGGATTTGGTCGCCCACTCCGAGATGCGACCATCATGTTTCACTCGTTGCAGGTTCTGTCGAGTGGCAGTTCTGACCCCATGCCCCAGAAGTCTTGCTTGATCGGCGGATACTGTGTGTCTGGGATTTTGTGTTGCGAAAGACTTCGGAAGATGGAGGGAGTTCGAGCACGTGTGCGAAATCTCGTGATGCGAAAGCTCCCATCTCTGAATTACGATAGCTTTTGGACAGTATCTGCGCGACCGAGCGCCTGAGGCCACAAGTTGTCGCGCAGACGCCGGTGGTGGAGGAGGAGGAGGACGACGACGAAGAGGAGGAGGAGGAGGAGGAGGAGCACCACGAGGAGGAGGAGGGGGACGAGACGGCGTCGTAGCAGTGGCGGCAGCGCCCCCCCCCCCCCCGCGCGCAGCCTGCAGAGGCCTTCTGCTGCCTGCGGCCCGGGAGCGACGCTCGCGTCTGCGGCGCATGCGCCGCAGCGTACGCGCCGGCTCCGGGCGCCCTCGCACAGGCGCGCGGGGCCGGGGCGTGGCAGCCGCGACGCTCCTCGGGCGGGCCCGGGGCGGGGCAGGGCAGAAGCCGTGCCACGACCGCCCTTCGGCAGCAGTGTTCGGTGGCGAGCCCGGGGGGGCAACGGAGAAGCGGCCGGGGGGAGGAGGCAGGGAGACCAGCGGCAGCAGGTACGAGGGGCAGAAAGAGAAGGAGCGGAGCCTGCTGCGTGACGGTGGCGTTCGCAGGGTGGTCATCATCCAACGCCATGCCCACGATGATGGATCGGCGGCGAGCGAGGGGGGGGAAGTGGAGAAGGAGAAGGTCTTCTCAGAAGCCTCGGAAGTCCCCCGGCCTTCTGAGGAGTTTTCTGAGCTTGCCCCGAAGACACACACAGACAACTTTTCAGAAGGCGCGAGGTCTTCTGAGAAGTCCCGCCGCCTTCTGAGAGGGCTCTCTCCTTCTCGCTTCCCCCCCTTGGTCGCCGCCGAAGTATGAACAGTCATATTGAAACAGTGCATAGGCGGCTTTCCAACTGTCCAAGCAGCCAGCGACTCTGCGCAGAGCGGCTGACAGACGATCGTCGTCTTTCCCCTCAGCCCCGAGCGGGAGAAATGGCTCCAGAGCGTTCCAGATCGCTCTCAGAGCGTTCCACAGTGCTCTGGAACGGCCGCGGCGCCCGATAGAGCCTCAGGAACCGTCGGATCCGGTTTGATTTTTCCCTATCTTGGCTTCGCCTCTATCTCTTGGATGACCGAGGGTCGAGGATCAAGGTCATTGGATGTTTCACTCAGGGGGGCACCTCGAGACCCACAGAGATCTCCTTAGACCTTGGGAGGGGACCTCAGGGGACCTCCAGCGCCGCGAACAACTCGACCCGCGTGTCTTCTTCAACCTATGCCTCCGTAGACGTTTGGAGGCATGTGTTGCGCCCGAGGGACGTCGAACACGTCAAGTCATGACGTCGAGTACCCGAAAGGCGAGGCAGGTGCGTTCGTCTGTCTGTCTGTCTGTCTGTCTGTCTGTCTGTCTGTCTGTCTGCCTGTCTGTCTCTCTGTCTGTATGTATGCATGTATGTATGTCTGTGTGTATGTATGTATGTATGCATGCACCTATGTATGTATATATGCATACATGTAGGTATGTGTATATATGTATGTATGCATGCATGCATGCATGCATGCATGTGTGTGTATATGTATGTATGTATGTATGTATGTATGTATGTATGTATGTATGTATGTATGTATGCATGCATGCATGCATGCATGCATGCATGCATGCATGTATGTATGTATGTATGGATGGATGTATGTATGTATGCATGTATGTATGTATGTATGTGTATGTATGTATGTATGTATGTATGTATGTATGTGTATGTATGTATGTGTATGTGTGTGTATGTATGGATGTATGTATGTATGTATGTAGGTAGGTAGGTAGGTAGGTAGGTAGGTAGGTATGTATGTATGTATGTAGGTCTGCATGTCTGAATAGCTAGATAGACGTATGCATACATGCATGTGTGCATGAATGCATGCATGTATGCATGTATGCATGTATGGATGTACGCATGTGCGTATTTATATATGTTTACACTAATTTTGTGCATTTAGGTACGTGTGTATGTAGGTAGGTATTGCATGCATGCCAGTAGACATGTATGTATGCATGTATGTGTGTATGAATTTATGTATACACATATGTATGTATGCATGCACGTAGGTGTACGTAGGTTTGCATATGCTTGTGTATGTATGCATGTACGCATGCATGCGTGTATGTATGTCTGTGCGCATGCCTTCATGGATGGATGCATGTGTGTCTGTCCGTATGTGTGTAGTATGTCATTTTATCAATGGGTATCGGTATACATGCATGTATACATGTCTACGTATATGTGCATGCGTGGGTTTAGGTACATGTCCGTGCACATATACATATATACATATATATGTATATATGTGTAGGCATGTCTATGTATGTGCAGATGTATATTACAGGTGCAGGGCTTTGTATACGTATGTGTGTGTACATGCCGGGGTAGATATACATACGCATACGTGTATATGCATTTGTATATGTTTTTTTTGCATATGTGTATGCATATGTATTTGTATATGCATATTCATAGGTATATGAATGTGTATATGTACAGGTGCAGTTAGGTGCATGTGTATTTGCATATGTCTATATACACTTGGCTATACGCCATTATATATACATATGCATGTATACACAAACATATATCAATGTGTTGATGGCCATATAGTTGTACCTGCCAATGCATATGCATACGCATAGCTGTACACTGGTGTACGCGTGTGCATGTATACATTTAGACGTACATACATATGCATACATATACACATGTATATGTACATGTACTTACGCAATTATATGCATATCTAATACATTCGGCATCTATGATACATACACGCTATACATAACGGCCTAGAGGCATACTGGGGGCCCAGGCCCCAGGTCGGCACACCCAGACTTCCCCCCCGCCCCCGCCTTCGAGCACCCCTCTCCCCTCGGGCGCCTCCTGGGCCTCCCCCCCGGCCTTCGAGCCGCTCGAGAACTCTTCCGGGGTCACGGGTAAGCGACGAGAGCGGAGCGAAAGGGCCCCAGACGCCCGAGATGGCCCCCAGACGGTCCACGAGGCCCCCAAGACGCTCTGAGGAGCCTTTCAGGTGCTCCCCAAGAGCGCCCCCAGATGGCCAACATTGCCGAATCCCCTTTCGGAAAACGTAGTCTTTAGCATATTCGTTTGTTGAATGTTCACGGCGTCCACGACGGCCCCAGAGACCCTAAGATTCGCCCCAAGACGGTCCAAGTAGCCCCCAAGACGACCCCAGAGAGTCCCAAGACGGCCCAAGAGGTGCTGACGAACCAAGGTGGCCCCAAGCGAGACCCAAGATGGGGAACCCGAACTCACATTCCGAGCCCTCCGCCCCAATGGGACCCCAGGGACCGCCACCAGGCCCACAAGAAGCGCCCAAGGGCCCCCAAAGAGGCCCCCAAACGGTCCCCAAGAGGCCCCGAGAAGCTTCAGAACTCACTCCACGAGGCGCCCGAGAAGCATGCCAAGAGACCCTTCATTACATGTATCCAAGAAGCCTCTGGCCCAAAACTCAGGCATGGTGGCAGTATGGGCCGAACACCATAGATGAGCAAACACTTGGCCTGGCGACGGATCCATCCTTATGCAGTCACGTGTAGCGCAGGGCGCGGCCCTCTCTTAATATATTGCGCGCCGCGGGACTGAGCTGATAGCGGGATGCTGCCGAGTAAGCGTGCACTGGCGCGCTGAAGTCCGTGCAGGACACGATTCGCGTGAAGGGGTTGCCGAATAATCCAGGTGCCGTCGTGCGAACCCGCCCAATGAGGCCGCAGGTGGATTCGTGTGAGAGGTGTGCCGATGTGAGTGGGGCGACGCTATATGCAATGGGGCCGTAGGTGAAGCTCCCTGTGGGGCACGGCCCCCGTGTGGGGGGCCATAGGTGGAGCTCCCTGAGGGCATGATCCGCGTGAAGGATGTGCCGGAATAGGCGGGGCGGCGTTTTTCAGATGTGTATGCCCCCTCGATAGCGCAGGTGCTCCCACGTGGAGATCGTGGTGGGATAGCGTGCGTACCCAGATTGATGTGACGCTGGTTTTGCCTTGGCTAGAGCATCATCGCGCCAAGCGCGCGCGTTGTTCTAGTGTGTATATATATACACACACCAATAGGACCACCCGACGGGTGAAAAGGAGGTTGGGTGGGCGGAAGGGTGAGGCCAGCGATTTGCGATGGCTCTGGGTTCTTTTTATTTCTTTCTTCAAATTTCCGATTGTCGAGCACATCTGCCTATCTTTCTACCGACCTATATATCTTCTTGTCTGTTTAGGACAACCATTTATATATCTATCTATCTATCTATATATATATATATCTATATATATGTATGTATGTATCTATCTATCTATCTATCTATCTATCGAAATGTATATCTATAAGTAGATATAGCGGTCTATTTATATATCTATATATCTGTCCATCTGCCTATATATACACACCTGCCAACATACCTGTATATTTATAGATCTAACTCGCTATCTACAGCTATCTATATATCTACCTAAATCTGTATTGTGCGTTTCGCGCGCGCAGCGCGCGACACGCGTTGCACTATACACACACGTGTATATATATATATATATATATATATGCTTCGCACGCGTTTAGGGCAGCAGCCTGCCCCGCCACCTCCTGCCGCAGGAGGCCGGCGGGGAGGAGCGTGGGAGGGCGGCAGGACGGAGGGGAAGCGCGCTCGCGCGCTCGCTGGGGAGGAGGAGGAGGAGGAGGAGGAGGAGGAGGAGGAGGAGGAGGAGGAGGGGAGGAGGAGGAGGAGGAGGAGGGGAGGAGGAGGAGGAGGAGGGGAGGAGGAGGAGGAGGAGGAGGAGGAGGAGGAGGAGGAGGAGGAGGAGGGGCGGAGGAAAAGAGAGAGAGAGAGAGAGAGAGAAAGAAAGAGAGAGAGAGGAGGGCGCGCCACAGGACGACTGCAGCGGAGAGGGATCGCGGATAATGGAGGGATGGAGGGAGGAGGGGCGACCAGGAGCAGGAACTGGATCACAGACGGTGTCTGAAAAGGGGGAGGAGGAAGGAGGGGTGGGTGGAGGCAGGAGGAGGGGGAGGATGAGACGGGGAGGGAGAAGGATAGGGAGAGGGAGAGTTTTGGGAGGGTGGGGGAGGGATCAGGGAGAGGAGAGGGGATGGGAGTGGACGAGGCGGAGGGAGGAGGGGGGAGGAGAAGGAGGAGGCCGAGGAGAATGGGGATGAGCAGGACGAGGAGGAAGACAAAAGGAGCAGCAGCAGTGGGAAGAGGAACGTTTCGACTACTTTTGAGGTTGGCAGGGGAGGGGGGCAGCGACGTGGGAGGGGGCGAGGGAGTGAGAGAGGGGGATGAGATTCTGCTTGCTCTGCTCCGCTTAGGCTTGGGAGTTCCTTTTCGCCTCCTGTCTCGCCCTAGTCGA